GGTTTATGAGAGGAAACGTGTGACACTCAAGCCTAACGTTAGCTGGCATAATGTGCTTATAACTAGCTGCTGTTGTTTAGCTAGCTCGCTGTAAACTGTTTGAAGACGTGAGGTTCGTATGCCTAATCTACTGATAATAAGTCATTTTGACAATACCTTGAATAATACGTAAGTTTATTTACACTAATTAAAGTACATTTATGAGTACAGTATTGTTTTCTTCTTTTAATAATAAATGAAAAAAACAGCTGACTGTACCTTTAAGTCTTCAAGTTTGTTGAGTTATTTATCAGGACCTGTATTTTTCATACATATTTGCAATGTGTTGGTTGTCTCTTATATCCTCATCTCAGTTACAGGGCTTTTTGGGAGAGTTTTTCTAATCCAAATTAAGGGTGTACCAAAAGGGACATTTTGTAGAGCTCATTCATTCATCCACCAATTTTCTAACCACTAGCCATTGAGTGAAATTTATAATTTGTGATATTGCTCTATGTAAACTAAATGAGTTTATTTAATCTAAAGGGACAAAGTGCTCCAATATCATTTTTAAAATCTTATAAAATAAAAAAAAAGCAACGAAACTGTGATTGTCCTAGGCCGCTAAAGAAGCACGAGAAGAACTGCAATAGGAATAGAGATGTGACTATTTTTCAGTTTTCCCCTCCCCCACATACACACACTAAGACACACATGCGTAAAATGACAAATAGCCTGTGACGTGCCTCTGTGAACATGGCACGAAAGGGCCCACTCCCTTTCCCCAGGGCTAATAAGGCACTGCAGTCTGCTCCTGGGCAGATCTCCCTGCTGAATCCAAATTTTACTACCAATAAAGGAAAAGTCTCATGCGAAACGACGCCTTTATTTCTGTTAGTGTTTGCAGTCGCCAGGTAGCAGAAGCACAATAAGTGCAGTTCATTATGTTTTCCTGATCCCCCAGGCCCACCGGTTTGCATGACTCAACATCTAAATGTGCAAAGAAGCAGAAAGGAAAAGGACTCACAATTGGTTGATTGGAATTCTGAAATCGGCCAATTACAAAGCTCAATTATATTACTTCCATCTCACATTCAGGTTTTGTTTGTGAAAGAATGCATCCGTGCGAGATACATAATTGAGATACTAGATTCCTATTGTAGCTCTACAGGCTCAGACTAAAAAAAGGGTAATTGTCTGTTACTGTTAGCTAGACAAAAATTGAAAATTCTTTGTTTTTCGTTTCCTGTCAGATCTGTTATCAAGTTACGTTCAATATTTTCTTTGAGAGGGGGAAGCAGTCGACAGAGTTCTGCTTGCTCAGTGGAAAATGTGACAGGTGGCCTCGAATGTGAGTACGACACATTCAGGGTTTGAGTTATTCTTAAAGGTCTCCTGGATTTTGGTACGAGCACGAGAAGAAGAGGAAAGGAATGCATATTGATGCCGTAAACTTACACCATCCTTGTTTATTCAGATGGCTTTTCTCATGGTGAAGAGGGAGATCAAATAGGCACATCAATTATAAATTGTGCATAAATGTTACTGATGTGGCTCTTGCTTTTCGGGATACTAGAATAACTCAGCTCTATGGCTCCAGTGGGCCTTTGGACAAACAGAAGTGTGATGGTGGACAGCAAAAACTAAATGCTCCCTCTGGTCTGATGGTTGCACGGGGCTGTTGTGACGTTAAGTTTCTCACAACCGATACCAGACGCAGACAGCTCGACTGTCCAGAGCAAAAAATGTTCTCCATTCCTTTGACCAAGAGGCAGCCCAGAATATAAATCCTTGTATACGCTTGTCTTCTTTCTTTTCCTTCCTTCTTATTTTTGCTATCGAGATATAATATGGTGCCGACAGTGTTTGAGTAGCACTGGTCAAATGCAATTGAGAACACTATCAATCTTCCCATCCAGCTCTTGGTAAGAGAGCATATTTCCACTCTGCTGTTACCCATTTATTTTTGGACCATTGTTTTAAAGGCTTCAGTTTGGCATTTCCACTGCTGCTACTTTGGTTAGCATTTTAAGCCAGATGTGACCATATCTGGAAAAGTGAGTAGTTTCTCACGTGATTTCACGCGCACTTGATCGAGTTACCCACCATGTTGGACATAATACAGCGTACGGTCACTAGGGAACTATGTCTACTCCCTGACTCGTTGGCGAATTTCGCTACATCAGGCTGAAGATACTGTTCATGAACATGGGCAGGGTAAAACTGGTCAAACACTCATTTTATACAATGTAGCAACATTTATTTCCATCCAGAGTTGCATTCATTTTTCCATATTGCGTACTCTTCCCCAGCAACTCCCAACAGTTGTCAGCGGGGTTAAGATCTCAACTCTGTGGTGCTCAATCTGTGTATAGAAGTGTATGTAACAGCTCCTGCTCCCTGAACCACTTTTTCACTGTTTGAACCCGCTGAATCCCAGCATTGACATCTGGGAATATTCCCATGTCATCAGGGAAGAAAAAATCCACTGATGGTGGAAAACTTGGTCAGTCAATATACTCAGGCAGTCAGTTGACCCAATCTTCTATTCACAGCTTCAGTCATGTTTGCCAGCCTAAATATATTAATCAGTAATGAACTATTTGCCTAGTTAAATCCAGGTGGTGATTTTTTTGGGGTCAGGAAGTTTATATAAATCACAACCTGGAAAGTCCTCTAGGCACCACCAGACACAAAGTAATGTGTAATAAGCTAACCACTTTATAAGTGAGCGATGTGTTAATGTGTCCATGTTTGAACTGATCAGATAGTCTGATGACTTGGCTTCTGCGAATGGCTGTTTTCTGGGATTTCAGTGAAGCCAGGACATCTCAAGGCTAAGATTTACATTTTTATCCTGCAAGCATGTTTATGAATAAAGATCTTTTTAAAAGCATAAAAATGTCATCAGAGAATTTGCATTACAACAAATGTTTTCCATGTATTACAGTCCACATGGACTATGTTCTTGCATGCAACCAAAGCCTGCTCCAACGGTCAATAGCATTTGGACTACAAGCGCACTGCAAAGGCAAACCAGAAAGCTTCAGGTAAAGTTTCATGTAACACAATGTCAACATAGCTTATTCATATCTATTTCCGGAGATTTGCCATAAACAATTGCTGAACAGGATAGTGCCCAATTTTCAGTCAAAGCTGCAGTGCCTTTTATTTTGCATATTTTAAACTTCAATAGAAATTAAATAAATCATTAAAGAAAAAAGACCGAAAAAAAAAAGCGATTGAGTCACCCAAACATTGATGGGGACCTACAGTTTACATTATTAGTCTTCCTACCTGTTACAGCCCGCACACACACACACACACACACACACACACACACACACA